CGATTTTAGCCAATCAAATTCGTGAATTTGGTAGTTCCCAGTCCTTGTGAGACACAGCCATATAATAAAATGGGTTATTGACCAAGTGTGAGGTCAAGATGGCTGGATATTGACGAAGTTCTTTTTTTGCGTGTTTATGGACCGAGACGGAGTCGAGGTCCATAAACTCGCAAAAAAAAGAACGAGGCCAATATCAAGCCATCTTGACCGAACAAGCTTGGTCAATAAAGGATTTGTTCTATGGCTTTCGGGGAAATTTTTCTTACGGGACCCGGCGGGTAGTCCCGAACGGGCAAGATAGCTCCATCTTGCCCGCTCAGGTAGCCAATCACAACGCTGGATTTGATTTCTCTTGCCCACTTACGGAGCTAGCCATGTAATAAGAAATAATATCGAAAAATTCGGAAATTTGGGAACATTCATTTATTGTTGTTGCTTTCATAGAACCTCAAAAAATTCAATGATGATCATAAAAGGGACTGTGTCGCTCCAACTCATTCCCTTAATAAATACTCGAGCGCCCATGACGCGGGCTAACAAAACACGAAAAGTTCATGAAGTGTTTTTACACAACTGCAAAAAGGGTTAGCCAGATAAGTTAGATAACCCTAATCCTAAGACCTTTCTGTCATTTCTGATCTAATCCGTTCAGACTTTAAGTCCAGGAGACCTCCTATTGTGCTGTTTTAAGTCAGAGGGCAAGTAAAACACATACATCCACACGCACACATACATAAACTTTATTTAAACTCGAATAAGACTATAGCTGATATCTTCGAGCTAAATAATGAAAAATGCCACAAAAAAACAAATTCATGATAAAAATGAGACATGCCTTCAATGCAACTTGAAGTTGATTATGATAAATTGTTTATAAAGCTAATGTTTCGGGCATTAACCCTTAATGTCAGAGCTCTTCTTACCTACAGTCGAGTTGATAAATAGCAAAGTTAGAGTTTTGAGTAGTGTGGTTACTAATTTAGGCATCTTGGACCGAGTGATTAGCGAACGCTGTTGGTGATTCTCCCTCGGGGCTACACCCCTGTCGATAGCAACCCTCAATGTACCTGTAAAATAAGTCACTGGCAAGTTCATAACTTACTGGACTCAAAATAACGTGCAATAAGCTGAAATAAATACCGCACGACTGGAATAAATTGGTAATGAGCTCAAAGAGGAATTTTATTATTTGAAGTGTTTTACTTGCTAATATCTTAGAAATAAGCTAACTCAACGAAATATTTTATTAAAAACCAGTCTTGAAACAAAATATAATTTTTGTATTCACTAACATTGTCGTCTATGACCAGGATTATTTTAAATTCTTGTCTTCCTATCAGTAAAACCAATTGCAAATCATTTAAAATGGCTGCACATTTCCCACGGCAGTTATCAGCTGGCAGTAGATTTCTATTCCTCGTAGGAAAACTTTCTCGTTGAGGAATTCATCGTGATCATGAAGAAGAATTGGAGTATTGTTCATTGGAGAAAAACCGATGGCGGGATAACCAAGCTGTATAGAGAAAGAAAGAAAAACATCAGCAGATAAAACTGAAGGCATTTACAGAGACCGAAACGTAAAACAAGCGAAAGGAAAAACCAAATCGCCGCGCGAAAGCTTTTACATGGTTGCCACAGACATCACTTTTCAAATTCCCGACTTTTCCCTGATAAAAATAA